TATATTTTTTACAATCAATTTGCCAGAGTTTATGCTCCTTTCTATTTTCCTCACTAGGTTTTAATTTCGACTTTTTAAATAATGCCTTTTTGTCTCTTACTGCTTCTTTTACTTTGTTGTTTAGCCACTTTGGCAGTTCTTTGGTTCTCTTATTATGTTTTTTAATTTGGGGTATACATTTAAGTTGAGCCTCAATTATGATATTTTTAAAAAGTTTCCATGCAGCTTGCAAGGATTTCACTTTTGGCACTGTACCTTTTAATTTCTGTTTAATTAAGTTCCTTATTTTTGAGTAGTCCCCCTTTCTGAAATTAAATGCTACAATGTTGGGCTGCTGTGGTGTTTTTCCCGCAGCAGGGATGTTAAATTTAATTACATTAAGGTCACTATTAGCAAGCAGTCCAGCTATATTCACCTCTTCGACCAGATCCTGTGCTCCATTTAAGACTAAATCAAGAATTGCCTCTCCTCTTGTGGGTTCCAGGACTAGCTGCTCCAAGAAGCAGTCATTTAAAGTGTCAAACTTTATCTCTGCATCCCGTCCTGAGATGATGTGTACCCAGTCAATATGGGGATAGTTGAAATCCCCCATTATTATTGAGTTTATTTTTATAGCCTCTCTAATCTCCCTGAGGATTTCACAGTCACGGTCACCAGGGCTTTGGAGTGGAGCGCGGAGCTGGAGCGCAGAGCAGCTCTGAAGCAGTGGAGCTGCAGTGTTTTGCCTGGAGCTGGAGTGGAGCCGGAGCACAACTCCAAAGCCCTGACTGTCACCACTGTGGCCAGGTGGTCGGTAATATATCCCTATTATTAGAGCATGTCATTACTATATAAAGAGATTCTATGGTACAGTTTGGGCCATTTAAGTTTTTTACTTCATTTAATTCTATGCTTTCTTTCACAAATAGTCACAAATAGCCACTCCTCCACCAGCATGACCTGTTCTGTCCTTCTGATGTATTTTGTACTTGGCTTGGAAACCTGAAGCTTGTGGACCCAGAAGTTGAGCCGTGGGTAAAGCTGGAGCTTCTGGGCTTACAGGTTCCCGGATCCATGACCAGGAGTCTGGAAGCCCTGATACATCTGGCTACTGTGTAGCTGTGGATCCTGGAAGACCCCAGCAGTCTGGAGAGGTGGCAGGTTTCCCATAGAAACCTCCCTTTGATTCACCAAAAGTTCATCGAACCCATGATGTTTCTGCAAAACATTTTGAGTTCTACAAATCTGCATTTTCTGATTAAACTGTTTTGTTGGGAAATTTATAACCCAGCTCTGTCCTCAATATCTTCACATATTAGCATGGCAATGGTTGGGGAAAATTTGAAATAAAAGTACCCAACATGTGTATTATTTCTGTGAAATTCTTTGATATCAGTTCTGTAAGGATGGGTGAATATTTTGAAAATTAATAATTTCCTTTGAAATAATTAATGCAAACTTATTATGCTATTTTATCCATAATAAAGGACCATTTCCATTAAGGTTTAACAAAAATCAGTATATTGAATTTTTGTGGAGGTGATTTTGGTTACTTAATTTTTGTTTAGTTATTTCTTTATCATGGTAGAATGTGCAGAATGGTGCACTATACCAATCAACAAGATTTAGGTTTGATATTTTTTTAATGGAATACTTAAGGTTTTGGGGACGGGAAGAAGTTAAGCGTGTCCTCTGTCTCTGCCCATTCATAGTAGTTATGTAATTTTTCTACCAACAAAAAATTCTAAATGTTGCTACAGTAATTTATTTTTGAACCATTGGACTCCTTTGTCTTTGGCTGCCCCTGCTGCATCGTGTTAGTAATTCTTCTCTACGTAGAAACTTTCTGATGACATTCCTTTATTGTCCTGCTTTTCCTTAATTTATGTTTTCTCCCTGTGAATGTATTATCTGAAGTACCCTGGCAACAACAGACCTAATTCTTCTCTGAGTGCTACTCTATATGTGTTCCACTTCTGTGGTCATGTGCCCCATGCACTGGAGATCAGAATGCTTTAGCTAGCACTGTCAATTGGTCACACATGCTCTGTCGCATCCGGCCCCCATCAAGGGTATAATTGAGCTCAAATCCCAGCCTCATTTCCTTTGCCCTCAGTTTAACCATGCCAATTTCTGCAATATCTTTTTATTGAAAGTATAAGGTCAATTAGTTTCACTGGCCCACTGCATTTGAAACCTGTTCTTACTAACCTTGTATGAGTAATTTATTGTGTCTCTTTGTTAATCTAGAATTAGGTTACAGAGATCTACCACCATGATATAAACAGTGAAACCAACTTTTAAAAGTATGGAAATTCAGAGTTGAAATTTTGCTTAAAATAAAAAGAAATAAACAAATAAACATGGGCTCTCGCCAAACCTGTGTGTGGGTGTCCAGACTGCTAAGTGAGTTGGAGAACCTGTGCTCTAACTTGTACCCCAACTGGCATAGTAAGCCCAGGTCCAAAGCAGATACAGACCTGGGTACAAAGATTTTGCATGAGGATATTAGGGAGACGTTAGCGTTTAACACCCAGATAATAATCCATGTTAACTCTGCAGTACATACCCTTATGGTCACCCAAACAACCTTGTGTATCCTGATTAGAGCTATTTAAATCCACCTGCGATTGTGACTCAGCAGTAATTCCATTGCTTTTTCATTCAAGGTTTAAGCACCTGATAACCGAACACCTCAACAGAGGTGTCCAGCATGCTTATTCTAATTCCTAAAATATATTATCCTGTTATATACAACTTGAATGATTTGAATGTTGTGATGTAATGTGATTTCTTTGGGCAGGCGGAGTGGCAGAAAGGCACATTAGATACAGTGTGCAATGTTTTCTAAATCTCCAAAATTTCCAAAAAATCTTACTCAAGTTATTCAACATGTTTGCAACAAATTCTAATTGTCAATGTGACCTAATACTAAAAAAATGTGAAAGCATGAACAGTATTTTTAAGTTAAAATGTCTTCAGTGCAAAAATGGGACCATTACTGCAGCATCAACTACTGTCCTACCTTAGTATGTGTACATTGAAGCAATAAAACTAATAATGCTTTTTAGCTTGCATAGTCTTTGCAGCAGGGACTGCATCTTCCTTTGTGTCTGGAAAGTGGCCAAAATTTAGACACTACCATAATATAAGTAATACCATTTGTCATCCCAGAAAAGTGTTGCTTTTTTGACCGCTGCCAACTTTTGTGTCATCATATTTAATTGCTCGATTGTGGCATTACTTTAATACTGTTGCTTTCTGGACTTTGCTTCTTAACACTATCTCTTCAAATGCTTGAGTGTTACTAAAATTTGGCTCTCCCAACCTGGGCTGGATATGGATCAAGAAATAAGCAGAAAAAAAATCTCTGTCCCTTATTATCAGTATCATTTTCTGCACATTTGGGACTACATTTTGGGAGCCTCATATTAGGCACCTAAATCCATATTTAAGAAATTAAAATAAGTGGCCAGGTTTTAAATGTAAATGTATACACCTAGGAGTAAAGAATGTAGGCCATATTTACAAGCTGGAGGACTCTATCCTAAGAAGCAGTGACTCTGAAAAAGATTTGTGGGTTATGATGGCTAATCCACTGAACATGAGCTCTCAGTGCAACTCTGTGGCCAATAGGACTAATGTGATCCTTGGAGACATAAACAGGGGAATCTTGGGTAGGAGAAGAGAGGTTATTTTACCTCTGTATCTGGCACTGGTGCAACTGTGGTTAGAACATTATGTCCAGTTCTGGTGTCAATAGTTCAAGAACAATGTTGATAAATTGGTGAAGGTTCAAAGAAGAGCCATGAGAATGAGGAAAGGATTAGAAAACCTGCCTTATTATAATAGACTCCAAGAGTTCAATCTATTTAGCTTAACAAAAATAAGGTTAAATGGGGACTTGATCACAGTCTATAAGTACATGGGGAGCAAATATTTGATAATGGGTGTTTCAGTCTAGCGGAGAAAGGTATCCAATGATCCCATATCTGGAAGCTGAAGCTAGGCAAATTCAGACTGGAAATAAGGCATATATTTTTAATAGGGTAATTAAACATTAGAGCAATTTTCCAAAGGGTTGTGGTGGATTCTCCATCAATGGCAACTTTTAAATCAAGTTTGGATTTTTTTTTCTAAAAAGATCTGCTCTAGAAATTATGTGGGGCAAGTTCTCTGCCCTGTGTTCTACAGGAGGTCAGGTTAGATGATCCCAATGGTCTCTTCTAGCCTTGGAATTTATGAATTTAGGTGCTGAGCACTTTTAGCTCCCATGAAAGCCAGTCAAATCTGTGCATGCTTGGCACGTCTGAAGGTTGGGCTATTTTTATTGGGAAAACAAAGACACATACAGATCACATGACCTTCCATATGGGACAGCTAATTTAATACTAATTAGGGCAACTAATTAAAGTGCTGTGCAAACTTTTAAAAAACCCTTTTTTTTCCCTCTCCAAAGGTGACAACCCTTGTTAACACAAGCAACAAAGGGCCATCTGGTAAAAAGAAAGGGCGATCTAAGAAAGCACATGTGTTGGCTGCTTCGGTAGAACAAGCTACCCAAAACTTTTTGGAAAAAGGAGAACAGATTGCTAAAGAGAGCCATGACCTCAAGGAGGAATTGGTTGTTGCTGTAGAGGATGTACGCAAACAAGGTACGTACAGTGAATCTGTCCTAACTCTTAACTTATTATAATTGCTACATGAGAGAACATGGGGGGAAATCAAATCAGTATCTTAGAGGTCTGTATACTGATGCAAGAAGTATTGGGTATTAGCAGGAAAAACTAGAAATGCTAGTTAATAAGCACAACTATGACATAGTTGGCATCACAGAGACTTGGTGGGATAATACCCATGTCTGGAATATTGGTATAGAAGGGTACATACACAATAAAGATAATGGATTTCAAGAAGGCAGACTTCAGCTAACTCAGGGAGTAGGTAGGTAAGATCCCATGGGAAGCAAGTCTAAGGGGGAAAACAGTTCTAGAGAGTTGGCACTTTTTCAAAGAGATATTAATAAGGGCACAAGAGCAAACTATCCCACTGTGTAAGAAAGATAGGAAGTATAGCAAGAGATCACACTGGTTTAACCAGGAGCTCTTCAATTATCTGAAACTCAAGAAAGAGTCTTACAAAAAGTAGAAACTAGGTCAAATTACAAAGGATGAATATAGACAAACACAAGTAAGTATCAACAAAATTGGAAAGACCAAGGCACAAAACAAGATTAAACTAGCTAGAGACATAAAAGGTAACAAGAAAATATTCTAGAAATACATTAGAAGCAAGAGGAAGACCAAGGACGGGGTTGGCCTGTTACTCAATGAAGAGGGGGTAAACAATAATAGAAAATATGGAAATGGCAGAAGTGTTAAAAGACTTTTTTGTTTCAGTTTTCACCAGAAAGGTTAGTAGCAATTGGACATATAACATAGTGAATGCCAGTAAAAAAGAAGGTAGGATCAGAGGTTAACATAGGGAAAGAACAAGTTAAAAATGACTTAGACAAGTTAGATGTCATCAGGACCTGATGAAATACATCCTAGAATACTCAAGGAGCTGATTGAGGAGATATCTGAGCCCTTAGCCCTGGTCTACGAAGTCAGCGTATCTTAGGTCGACTTACCTGGCCGTGAGGATGGCGGTGAGTCGACCGCTGCCGCTGCCCCATTGACTCCGCTTCCGCCTCTTGCGAGCTGAAGTTCCGGAGTCGACGGGGAGCATGTTCGGGGATCGATTGATCTGACGCGATAAATCGATCCCCAATAGATCGATCACTACCCACCAATCCTGCCCTTAGTGATTACCTTACAAAAGTCGTGGAAGATGAGTGAGAGTCCAGAGGTCTGGAAGAGGGCAAAGATAGTTCCAATCTATAAAAAGGGAAATAAGGACAACCAGGGAATTACAGACCAGTCAGCTTAACTTCAGTACCCAGAAAGGTAATGAACCAAATAATTAAACAATCAATTTGCAAACACCTAAAGGATAATAAGGTGATAAGTAACAGTCAGCATGGATTTGTCAAGAACAAATAATTTCAAAGCAATCTAATAGCTTTCTTTGACAGGGTACCAGGCTTTGTGGATGGGGGAAGCAGAAAATGTGATATATCTTCACTTTAGCTTCTGATACTGTCTCACATGACCTTCTCATAAATACACTAGGAAAATACAAGCTAGATGGAGATAATAGAAGGTGGGTGCGTAACTTTTTGGAAAACCGTTCCCACACAGTAGTTATCAGTAGTTCACAGTCAAGCTGGAAGGGTATATCAAATGGGTCCTGCAGGGATCAGTTCTGGATCCAGTTCTGTTCAATATCCTCATCAATGATTTAGATAATGGCATAGAGAGTATACTTATAAAGTTTGCGGACGATACGAAGCTGGGAGGGGTTGCAAGTGCTTTGGAGGATAGGATTAAAATTCAAAATGATCTGGATAAACTGGAATAATGGTCTGAAGTAAATAGGATGAAATTCAATAAGCACAAATGCAAAGTACTGCACTTAGGAAAGAACAATCAGTTGCACACATACAAAATGGGAAATGGCTGTCATGGAAGGAGTACTGCGGAAAGAGATCTGGAGGTCATACTGGATCACAAGCTAAATATGAATCAACAGTGTAATGTTGTTGCCGGAAAAAGTGAACATCATTCTGGGATAGATTAGCAGGAGTTGTAATCAAAACACAAGAAGCAATTCTTCCACTCTACTCCACGCTGATTAGGCCTCATCTGGACTATTGTGTCCAGTTCTGGGTGTCACATTTCAAGAAAGATGTGAACAAATTGGAGAAAGTCCAGAGAAAAGCAACAAAAATAATTATAAGTCTAGAAAATATGACCTATAAGGGAAGATTGAAAAAAATGGGTTTGTTTAGTCTGGAGAAAGAGAATATTGAGGGAGAACAGGATTACAGTTTTCAAGTACATAAAAGGGAGGTGGTGGAATTTCTATCCTTAGAGGTTTTTAAGGCCTGACTTGACAAAGCCCTGGCTGGGATGATTTAGTTGGGGTTGGTCCTACTTTGAGCAGGGGGTTGGACTAGAATGACCTCCTGAAGTCTCTTCCAACCCTATTCTTCTATTATTCTATGATTCCATGAAAAGGTTGTTACAAGGAGGAGGGAGAAAAAAATGTTCTCCTTGGCCTCTGAGGATAGGACAAGAATCAATGGACTTAAATTGCAGTAAGGGCGGTTTGGGTTGGACATTAGGGAAAACTTCTTAACTGTGAGGGTAATTAAGCACTGGAATAAATTGCCTAGGGAGCTTGTGGGATCTCCGTCATTGGAGATTTTTAAGAGCAGGTTAGACAAACGCCTGTCAGGGAAGGTCTAGATAATACTTAGTTGTGCCCTGAGTGCAGGGGACTGGACTAGATGACCTCTCAAGGTCCCTTCCAGTCTTATAATTCTATGATTGCTGGATTTCTTCCAAGAAAAATATGCCTCTAGCTTCCTGGATGATGATCATGTGATTAAAACTACTTATATGGTGTACATTGCATTATATTTTCAATATTTGTACAAATAACTAATTGTTTATTCAGTAGTAGCATTTGTTTAGCTGAACATTACAGCTGGGTCAATAACTGATTTTTTTTTTATTTATTTACTGGTTGTTCAGGGGGGAAAAATTAGTTGAGATTAAACTGATACCAATAAATGCTTAAAAAGTTGATGAACTGGTTGAACAAAATATTTTGTTTGGCATGAAACATTTTGTTTCTGGACATTTTAAAGGGCTAGAGTCACAAAATGGGGAGGAGGAAGGCAGAAGTGGTGCCCACACCTCTTATAACATTTAGCCCAGCGATTAGGGCACTCACTGGGGATGTAGGGGACTTGAGGTGGAGCATCCTAACGAGTGGGATGTGAAGTATTCTGGGGCTAGTCTTTTTCACTCTCTCCTGTTGAAGCTGTTCCTCTGTATAAAAAAACTTTAATAGGCAAAGAGTGAGAACGATCGTGATTCCATAGGCTGGTGATTAGGGCACTTATCTGGTTGCTGGGACTGCCACGTTCAAGTCCCTCTACTTTAATTACTATTTTGGATGCATGTCCTAACCACTGAATTTAAAAATATGAGGGAGGTGGCACCACCACTGATCCCATCCCCCCAGTGCATTATGTGAAGGCCGCCAAAGTTCCCCAGTGAATGTACTCTGAAAAATTTGGGTGTGGGGAGGGACAAAACTGTTTGGAGAATTTGGGTCAAATTCACGAATAGTTTTGCAAAGGCTGGAACTGATTTTTTCAGTGAATAAACTGAAAAATGTTCTCCAACTCTACTGAACGTTCTATCTTAGGTAATTTACCACATCATCTCATCACTTTGCCTGAGCTCCACTGACTCAGGAAATAGGAAACTCAAAGATTTTTCAGTGTCCTAAATGACCAGTGCTGATGCAAAACCATGAGGCTGACTTTGCTTCAAGTTATTCTTTATATAACTGTGTAGAGGATGAGCTTTTTTCTGTAATGAAAATTACAGGGAAAATAGTTTGCAACCCTGTTAGGCTCTTAATAGTGGCTTAAAGAAAAAGTATGTATAGCATATATGTAATCAATATTTTGTGTGCTGAACAACTTAATAATTAACCACCAAATAATGCAATGATGTAGAATGTTTTGGTTTTTAAATGTGTAACACAAAGATTAGCATAATCTTAAATCACAAAAATACAAGCAATATTAAAATATGATCTTCACTATGTAGTTGGTGGTTAAATAGATGTTAAGGAGACCTTGCATATTTTATAGAATGGTAACTTCAGGATATACCAACAATATGCAAGCAACTCATCTAATAAGCATCTTTCACAGTAGCATGTGGGAAAGAAATTTAAGAAATTTCATTTTATAACCATTACAGTAGTTTGCATTGTTATTATAGGACACCTGCTTTCAAATAAATAATAACTACAATAAGGCTTTGGAAATTCAAAAGTAATCTTGTATCTCAGCTAAGAATTTTAAAGGTAAAATACATAGCAGGTGTGACACTTGTGACAATTTAATGCAATATCCTTGAAAAACCTTATTGAATTAAGTTTAAATATTTTTGGAGTCCATTGTATTAAATGCAGCGACTATGTATTATTGTAGGCTGGGGTTGTATGTAACCTCTCTATGCTGAAGATACGATGTGAACCCTTGAAAGTGTCATGAACTTCAAAAGACTATGTTGAACAATGTGGCAGACAAGAATGGATTTTTGGGAGAAACAGTGCCAAGTGGTTTGCTTGGAGAATCTCTAGGGAAAGGTGAATGCAATTTTCCCAGCTATAGTTATTTAGAAAAATAACTGTTGGAAGCTACGCCCTGAGGAGAGGACCATTATCTGCTGATTACCCGTTCCAGACTCTCAACATCAAAGGCCCAAGTGGTATAAAGGAAAGAGTAACCTATTCATGGGGATGCTAGTTCTGAGCTAAGGCTGTTTATGAACTTTGTAGTCAACAGGAAAAAAAAACCCAAAACCTTTGGGTTGGGTTTGAAGGAATGACTCCTACCAGAGCCTGAGATTGGAGGTGGGGGATGATCTCTGGTAAACTTATTAGCATGAATGTTGGTTCTTTTATTGTTTTTAATGTTTTCTCTCTGATACTTACACCTTAAGAATAACTGTGCTTACTTATA